CCCAAAGTTCTATCTTATAAATGTACATTTTAATATAGATTTTAATTACTAGTATAAATGGATATAAAAATTGAAGAGAGTAGATTTCACCCAGTTTCAGCAAGCCTCTATTGTAGATTTCAATTCCAACTTGGAATGTGGTGACAGTATATAAAAATTCCAGCAGTAATTCTGTGGTTAAAGGCATTGTATAGGGTCTGACTTTGTAGTTGCTTGGGTTAAGCTAGTTTCTGATAAGAGTTTAAAGATATCTGTGGTTGGTTCCTAGAATTTTTCTGAATAAATGGCCTGGCTACACAAACAACAAGGTAAGATGGTTGAACCTATGGAATCCTAGAATTGTGTTTTTAAAAAAATAAAACTTTAAAATCTCATAGTACGACATATATTTGCTGCTTTGAATAATGGTTAGGTGCTGTATTATTAGAAAGAATTTAAGAGGACTCCTACGCATCTAGCATACTCCTAGGATTTGAGAAATGTGGAATATATGCTAACAGAAATGATGAGTTTTGCTTACTTGAATACATTATATTTGCACACATTTTTGCAACCTTTGTGATAGCAACTTAGTCTTCTTTTGGGACAATCACCCTCTGTTGGGTTGACAAGTTCTTTAATTGACTGACAGAGATAGGCATCCATTCAGCCCCTACAGAATGACATGAATTGTTTGTCAATAGGTTAGCCCCAGAGAGAGGCCAACCGCAAATGCTTAGTTCGGTGTTTTCCCCGTCTGAATAGATTTTATTTGTATTTTCTAAGAGAAAAAATTGCTTAAGTTAGAACAGCACATAGTGGAAAAAGGGACAAGGTCAACTAATATCATCCTTTCAAATATTTTATACTATTAGCTCTGCTCAGATTTTAGTGATAGTAATTATAAATCTAATTAAACCAACTATAATGCAATAATATCCAATAAAGGCAATATATATACATCCCTGTCAGTATCTGCTGCATGCAGATGTTCCAAAGGTTGTCTGAAAATATGCAAACTGGAGATTTATTTAATTTAAAAATGCTCTTTTCAAGTCAGGAATCCATGTGCTACCCGCATTTCTTCAGGGGACTCGTGTAATTTGGCCTTGCTCTTGCAGTGGTCATCCCTCTCCCCACTGTCATCACCTCTCTGTTTCGGTATACAAATATACAAATATTCTGTAATATCTCCCATCCTAAAAACAATTACAATAACAACAAAACCAGCTCTATTGACTCCACATCCCTCTATGTTTATTGCACACGGGGATGCAGTCCTCTTTTCCCTTCCTCTGCTCCACTTCAAGAGACATTTGTTGAGAAAGTATTTGTAATATCATCTCCTCACCTCCCATTCTCTCCTCAGTCCACTCCAATAAGGCTTTTATCCTCATAACTCCACAGAAGCTGATCTAATGTCCCCAGTGACCTACATGTTGCCAAGTCCGGGCTTTTTTTAATTTCTAATCTTAAGGAACTTGAACTCTCAATAGTATTGAATGTAATTGATATTTTCATCCTCTTAATACACTTTTCTTTTGGGTTATGCAACACTGTTCACCTCTGCTTCTGCCTACCTCACCAGCTGCCACGCAGGTGTGGGTTCTAGGACGCGGTAGACCTTTGGCCTTTAGTCCTTCTCCTCCCACAGCAGCCATCAGGGAGTCTCCTTTGCTGGCTCTATTCCACTGCTTGATTTCCATCTGTTGGGATGCTCCAAGGCCAAGCAGTAGACCTTCTCTTCCCTATTTATATCCTCTCCTTAGATGACCTCGTTCAGTGCCTTGATAAAAATACTGTCTTTACGCTAATGACTCTCAAACTTGTGTCTTGGGCTTTGACCACTCCTCTGAGCTCCAAGAGCATGGTAGGATGTGCAAAAGGCATGTCAGATATTACTGACCAATACAAAATCTTGATTTCCATTCCTACAAAAAACCTTTCCCTCCCTTAGTCTTTTGCATCTTTTCAAACAGCACTGTTCTCCTGTTCTTCACTATTACAGAAGTGCTGTCGAGGATGTGGAGCAACTGTCATGTCTTCCACTCATGTGCACATTCAAAATGGCATTCTGATTCATATATTGAGGATTCAGCTACTAGCTTCATATTTAGAAGACATTAACTTAATTCTTAACTTAGTAAAAGGACTTAAATTTCAACGAGTTTGGCAAATCGCAAATGCCATTCAGATGACACACGACACGCAGCCATTTCTAAATAAGTCTAATGTTTGGAGTCAGGGTTTTCAGTTAAGTGGGTTAAGAACAAATTATTAAAGTTTACATACATTAGTTTTTGTAAGATATGTGTGGGCCAATAAATAATGTATACTCCACCCCCAAATCATTAAGTTGTCAGTCAACACATTTTTATTGCATGCTTCCACTGTACTAAACATCGTGCTAGATGCTAAGTTTATCGTAGTGATTTAAAGATTCGTGACCCCAGACTCAAACTAGAATAGGATGCAGGCAATAATCAAGCAATACATAAATAATTAATACTTAAAACCGGAAAAGGGTGGACAAAGGAGAGGAAGTCAATACTAAAATGATAGTAAAAGAAAGCTCTACTAAGTTTTGTTTGCTTATTTGTTTCAATAAAACAAAAGGTTATTTCAACTGAGCTCAACAAATTCTGAATAACTACTACCTGTGAGACACTATTACTTAATTAATGAGAAGGCAATGATGAAAAATATATATTACCTAATACAAGGAACTTGTCTAGTACTCATAACTGCTAAAATGGTTGTTGATGCTCTTTGATTTTCCAAAATAAATGCTTAGTTAATTTAGTCTGAAACTTAATTTTGAATATAAGAACTGAATTTTTTTCTTAATGTCATTTACCTAGACCAATGGTTTCAAATGTTTCAAGTATTAGGACCTATATTCAGAATCAATATATTCTAGGGTTTTCATATGATATCATTTGTATTTTCTGTCATATACATAAAAAAGTTCAGTTACTATGAATTTAATAACTCTTCAAAATAAGTGTGCATTTACTCAGAATTCTATAAATTTTAAGTATAGTCATATACGTATTTGTAACGTATATTATTTATTTAGTTAACAATAATTCATACATTTGGGGAAAGGATACCTTATAAAATATCAGCTAGATACAGAGGTGGAACTATTGCTACACTTGAAATTCTATTGCCTCCTACCAGACATGCAGGAAAACTCAATGCCATATGTTTGTATAGTACTTAACAATGCATAGAGGAGAGAAGGGTGAACAAGTTTAGCACAGAGGGCTTTTAGGCAATAAAATTATTTTCTATGATACTATAATAGTGGGTACATGTCATCACAGGTTTGTCAAAACCCATAGAATGTACAACAGCAAGAGTGAACTCTACTGTAAACTACGGAGTTTGGGTGATTATGAAAATTCTGTTTCCATGTGGTCCATTTTGACAGAAACCAAGTTGTCATGCAGAGATTTATTATAGCATGAGTTTTTGAAGATGTAATTTTAAAAAGGGAGAGACTTAGCAATTTGTACTGTGCTGAATTTCATTTGTAGCATCACTTGCATAATTTATTTGGCATACATTTATTTTCTGGCAACATGTATTGAACTCTTATGAATAGTTGAGATGTACCCAGCATCCTTCTCCCTTTTTTTCCTCAATAACCTTGCTACCTCTGTGAACTCATATTTTACAAGAAAAGGGCTTTGCCTTTTTGCACAGGTGAAGCATATAACCTAACTTAACCAATCGACCCAGTACATCCTTCCATCAAATGAGTTCACTAATGGTGTTCTGGGAATTCTAGAAATCAGGTTTCCTCTCTTCCTCTCCCACGTATGTGGTGTGCAGACATAAAGCTTAGAACAGCTGTAGTCATTTGCTGCCAAGCAGAAAGTCAGTCTGAGGGGGACAGAGCCAAGAAATCCCAGGGAAATCGATCTGGGCCCTAATCACGTTTCATGGAAAGCCCAGTTTAATTCTTGGCATTGTCAGTCACGTGAGCAAATTATTTTCTTGCAATTATTTGCCAGTTTGAGTCAGGCCTGCACTTATTTGCAAATGAAGTATATAATGGATAAGAACTTTGTTACCAGGAGTGGGGTTGCAAATAACAGGCTAGAATTCTTAAAAGTGAGGGAAGTGAGAAAGACCACTCTGGCATATGAAAAGATGAAAATCTTTGCACAATGGTTGGTTAAAGTGGAGTTTTTACACTTTAGATCTTGGAGCATGCAGTAGCAAAACTACAGTATTAGGCAACTGAGAAAAAGCAATAGTAGGATAAATTCTATAGCCAAAAAAGAAACAATCTTGCTTTATTATATACCTCTCAAAGTAGACAGAATAGAAGAGAAAGCTTTGCCAGGAGTGGCTCCTCTGTCTTTGGTTTGCAATACAAGTACACTAAGTTTAATTTTCAGAGACCCCCATGATTGGAAAAGTTGAATTACCTACAACAAACCAAACAGAAGGCTATCAAAAGCAGAGTGACAAGAGATATAGTGGGAGAAAATAGAGAGGATAGGAAATATATTCTAGCACATTTTTAAAGAATTTTCTCCTGAAAAATATATAAATACTCAACTTATGGATATGAAATCAAAATGAAGGTTAAGAGAAGGAGATAAACAAATACCCACTACAGCTCATTGTTTCTATTGGCTTCCGTAAAGATACAATTTATATATATATACACACATATATATATATATGTCCAAAATATGAATATGCCTCATACAGATAAATGTTTCCCAATTAAAGATGGAAGCAAAGCTATAATTATATTATTTTTCAAAAGCCTTTCATTAGACTATTTATCCACTTGATTTTCAAATTATTTAAGGTTAGTGCCTTAAATGTTTTACAGATGTAATTAGCTGACGTTCTTTTTATAGATATAAGTCAAGTAAGTATTATTTCTCAAATGATTCACAGGTTAAACAATATTTTTCTAATATGCTGTGGATACTGAACTTATAACGTCTCATTAAGAATAATTTTTAATACACATATTTTAAAAAACTGTCAGATTTCCTTTTTACAGTAAATATTTAATTTTCTGATTTCCAGTTTACAAGTGTTTAAAATGAACAAGAATGATTTTACCTCTTCAGCAATACTTTTATATTAATTCAAGATATTTTGATTTAATATATGGCAATAAGTCTCCACATATGTTAGCCATTAGTATTTTGTTTTTTTAATGGGGATGTAACAGTAACAAACACTACATCATTACTTTGGTTGTTTTACAAATCTTTTCTCCAGTTGTAAATTCTGAAAAAAAATTCTAAGAAGTAGAGAATGCTAAAAACTTAATGAAGATAACTTCTACCTTTATAATATTTCTATTTTATCCTGAAAGGGAACATTAAAACTATGACATTGCTATAACAGACCATCTTGCCAATGTTATAAAAGATTGGCGGGAGCAAGAAATTGTATCTCTGATACGTGGAATTTTGTAGTTATCTCTATAAATCATTAGGAAAATGTTGAAAGATAAAAAACAAGCAAACAAAAATGTTCTGGTGATCCCTAAACCATTCTGACGATGAGTAGCTTAGTCTAAATCAAATTTTTTTCCCACTCATAATAATCACTCTCCTCTCAAACATCTTAAAAAAATATATTACACTGTACGATAGCAAAAATTAAAGAGAGCACAAACTATTTTCAAGAACAGAAAAATCTCTAGCACAGAAAGATATAGTAAAGAGCTGACTTCTTTGGGGACAGTAGTCAACTAACTTATAATTCATTATGAAGTTTTCTCTTTCTTCTTATGGGGAGAGTCTACTTTATTTGAAGTTGCCACCCCATTTTCTGTTCCTTTTCTAGAAGACCTGCCTTTAGTCCGTTTCTTCTTCACACTTGGGGCCTGAAGAACAGCATCTTCTTCCTTCCACCTCTGAAGCTGGACGTTAACTAAATTCCACGTTATGTATGCCTGGATCGTGCAGCTGGACGACAGAACAGCAATTTTAGCTGCCAACACGTTCACGTTTCCACTAATGGCATCCGGATTCCGATTCTGCCCTCCAGCCAGGTGAAAGCCAACAGAGAGCACGGAAACAGTTAAAGTCACAAGTCGACCCAGAATAAACACAACTGCCCACAGAGACATCTCTTTCTGGTACTTCTCATCACTAAAATAAAACAGGTCGCAAATGTGGGAAAGGAATTCCACAAAGTAATGCAACATCAGGAGAACAAGCCCCAGATGGTTCAGGTACAGGAGATAGGCTCCAGCAATGTGGAAGAGGTGAAGACCGATGTAGACAAGCTGGCGAGGGAGATCCTGTTTTTTGGTTCTCTGGAAGTAGAGTTCAGGAAAGGCATGAAACCAGTAAGCCAGCTGTGAGATGTAGAAAAACTTCATCTGAAATGTCATCACGTTATGGGAATGAGCCCCCCATACGAGCGTGGGGTCTGACAGGCAGTTTTCAGAGATTAGAATGAACGTGCCCCAAACACATGAGACAAGGTAGAATGCACTGAACTGGCCAGATTCATTAAATCTGCTTTGTTTCGCTTTGGGGAACTGCATTCGCCTGTTAATTTTATCCAACACATACTCCTGCAGGGTGGCGTGAATGATGACGGCCACCAGCATGTAGAAGAAGACCGTGGCCAGGTCTTTGATGCCGTAATGATAGAGGAACTTTAACTCCTTGGCTGGATCTTCCCCCGCGGGGAAGGGAACGCTGTGCTGCAGCGTGATAAACACGATCGATGCTTCTGCGGTTCCCTCGAACATGAGCCCCAGCACGAAGAACATCCCCACGCAGGCGACGAGGTCCGCGTGATTCTGCAGGATGAATTCGTGGCTCAGGACCGGGGGGTTCTTGGTGCTCTTCTTACGAAACGCCATGGTGGCGCCCCCAGATACTCACCGCCGAGCGGCAGCCGCCTCCCCCCGCCTGCTCCTCACAGCGCCGCCGCCGCCGCCGCCGCCGC